CCAATATTACAACCTATAACCGAGGCATAATTCAATACATTCATTTATCCGTTGGGAAATAGGAGAGAATTCAAATCTCCATACATTCATTTGGTCATACATTTCGATCTTTACAGTGGACATAGGCAGAAAACCCGAATCCATGCATAGTATAGACAAGCAATCACAACAATTTGCTGCAAAAGGAATCGAAAAAATTCAAAACACTTCGCGCGATTATTGTAAAAACTAATTTATCCCAAGATCTGACTCCCCCGGGGGGAACGGCGCCATCCAGTATAATATCCGATCCGGTTATCAACCATAGTGGCTGATGGTCACTCGGATAGATAGTATGCGTGGAGGCGGTCCAGTAAGCATCTATTGGAAAAAATAGTCGTCAATATGAGAGAGAACCAAGGCGTGAGATACATGCATCCTTATTCGGAATACATGCGGGAGTCGTAATCAAACGGAGAACACAAGTATTGTACCCTGAAAAGTCAATTACTTCCCGAAAAAAACATGATCTCTCTTGTAGCCAATCAAGCTAACGCGTCACCTCTCCACCCATCCCCTCCATTCAACGCAAAAAATAACAACGCGAAGATCCGTACGATTAGGAACAAGCCCGCTGCATACCCAAAGGCGGTTCCACGTAGTATGGGAGATCCGCCTCGACAGCTAAAGCAGGGAGGGTAGTGACGATCCCTGAAGCGCTTTTCTGCCGTTAGCCACCAGTTCACGACTTCATCAGAGGGAACACCTCCTTCTAAACATCATACATGTTTCGGGAGTCAGAGTGGCGATGGCGGCAACAATGCTTGCAGGTGGTGCAAAAAAGCAATGAATGAAAGAAAGGCTAACAAAGCAACAAAAGCAAGCAAAACATACGCCGAGACCTCAATAGCTATTCCCACCCTATCATCCGTCGTTTCTCTGTTCAGCGCCATCGTACCGAACTCTAGCAGCCTACAAGCAGCCCAGCGCAGAAGCTCAAATGGAAAGAAAACCCACATTATTACATGCTCGGACTGCAAGCGTGCTAATTGCGAGACCAGCGTGCGAATAGAAATCGTGAGGGTTTGCGCGGCGCATGCGTGGCATATCATGCCCATCAGATAATCCGTGAATGCTTTGAGAGATGAGGGCGTAGGTCTCTATACCATGTCCTCCTCGTCATCGATCATCCGATCCAACAGCTCCTAGTCCACCTGGTAGTTCATGGCGAAGGTCCCCACAGGGCAGCAATGTTCCGCTATTGGCAAGTACACCTTCCACCTGAGCACTTGAAAACTTGGAAATCTTGTCGTCGTTCGGCTCGCAACCAGAATTACGGTCGAACGGAAGGCAAGAGCGCTGAGTAGCTGATGGGATTCTTAGGGCTATCCCTGTAGTACAAATATTGTCCCGCCATCGTCACTTTCCGAAGGATGCTGCCCACGGGCGGCGCATCTGCCGACGAAGTCGTGAAGCGGGAGAATGTCTCAAAAAAATTCAAAGGATTCAAAACAATAAAAAAAACACACACGAAACGAAAAGAAGGAAAAAAAAAAAAACGAACAATGTTCCGATATTCGAGAAGATACGAAAATAGAGCACACGTTCGTGAACCGGCACCCCCCAGTTGGGTGAGGCGTCACCAACGATCTGTCAGTGGTCGGAAGAACGTGTGCGGGTGTTGTAAGGCATCGAAAAAATAGGGGAACAAAGAATCGAAAAAAATCATGAAAACAATCAAAGGAGGAAAAAAAGGGGAAAAAAAAGAAAAAAAGAAAAAAAGTATAGGACGAAACAGACAAAAGAAAAAAGAAACGAGAGAACAAAAAACGAAGAAAAATGAAAAAACGGGGAGAGAAAAAAAGAAGAAGAAGAAAAAACGAAAAAAGGAACCACGAAAAAAAGGGGAAGGGAAAAACGAAAGGTGGGTAAAAATAGATCGGAAATATTATTTCCAGATCGTATCCTGTGTGCAAGACAGCGGGGTCATATCGAGGTTAGCCCCGTTATGCGCATGAGTTGTGCGCATATTTGAACCAGGGTTATTGTGTACCCCCCTTTTGTGCAATCCCTGTCCGGTGCGTGTTGTTTAGCCGTACAAAACCTGTGAAGGGGGCTTACCTTTTCCGTGAGATGCGGGGCTATCATTCTGACCTACCTGTCTCTTCTGCTACCCATCCACACAGCTTCTCTTATGCCAGGCTTTCTCCCTTCCTCTCCTGGCGACTCCTGCCCTTTTCTTCTCAGTCGCTTCGTGTCTTGCCGCTCTGTTATTCATGCATGTATGTGTGTGTGTGTGTGTGTGTGTGTGCGTGTGTGTGTGCCCCGCCCCTGTCCCACCGGTAAGTGGGCTTCGGGCCAGAAGGCCGGATGCTAGGAGGCATCGGGCCTTCCGGCCCTCAGCCCCCCGGTCCCTCACACACACTCGCAGACACCACAGAACACAGATCAGTACATGCCAAATCTGGTAATCAGATGGGCTTTCATCATATCAACAATCATTCGCCCGGGCTGGTATCTCTGCCTATTGTGAAACACTCTATCAACGACCTTCCAACACTCCCTCCTACTAAATCCATTGGAGACCATGGTTTGGATAAGGTCATGGATCTCAAGGGCGGCTTCCTGCTCGTTTGAGCAGATGATGAGAATCATGACGGTTTGCGTGGCCGGGATCTGCAAAGACTGTGCGATAAAACGATTGGATTTGAACCTCATGAATCTCACTGGGGAGAATGAGAGACCCCTCTTCTTGTCATGTTTTGATGTAGAGTACGTGTCGTTCTGTGTGGAGGTGATTGTTAGTGAGAGGTTGAGGAAATTGGCTGCCCTCCCATGCCCATTGATTATGACCTCGGTCGTTTCCTTGACCTCGATGAACTCATAGGGGTAGATTCGTCGATTCGGGTTCTGACCGTGGATTCGGTTTTCGAAAATCCCGGCAATGATCGTGTTGTTTAACGAACACAGATCATCGATGTACCTGTAGGTTTCTTCGAAACATTTAACCGTCACCCAATCCTTCATCTCGACTAGGTAAGAGATTAGTTCATATTTGTATTTAAACAAATACACATCACAAAAGATAGGGGAACATGGCAAACCCATCGGAATCCCGAGGATCTGCCTCCAGACTTTGTCTCCCATCTGCACAATACTGTTGGAGATGAGCCAATCACAGGTGTCGATGATCCCTTGCTTGTCAAAGTACAGCCTGTCCCTGTCCCTGTCCTGATCGCCATCCACCCAATAAGGGTGAGGTGTGTCATTGGCCGCAATCCTGATCGCGATCACGTCCCTGGTCGTTCTGGCCCTCCTCCATTCCATGGCACACTTGACGAAGAACTTGATCGCCTCCAACAATCCGTCGCTCGAACCGTTCGTCGGTATCGTCTCGAAACATCTGGTGATATCCCCCGTGAAGACAGAGTACACGTACCGCAGGATGTTGGCCACGAATTCCCCTATCGAGGAGATCGGCCACCAGAAGTTGGGTCTGATTCCGTGTGTCATACAAATCTCCTCGCTCTTGCTCGCGCAGAGGGCTTGCACATCCACCGTGACGAGCTTCAACATGCTATCGCATACGCCTGCGACAGGGGGGAGTACCAATCCCGCAGTGTTTGTGATCCACCTGAACGTCTGCTTGTGTGCTTTGTAAACCGTCATGAGGTGCGGGAGCGGTAATAACTCGTGTCCGACATGAGTGATGGCTGCGGCCTCTTGCAGCAATCTCGTCGCTACTTGCGTTGGCTCTTCTGGAAGTAGTGTGAAATCAGGCTCGGAGAGTCGATGCAACGCCAGCTTCCTGATGAAGTTAATGCAGACGAACGTGGGGGTGTGCGCCGCCTTGTCCGTTGGGCAGATAAGATATCTGCTGGTCAGCCATCTGAGTTCGCTTCTCACTGCCATGCTGTTAATAGGTTCACCCGTGATGTGCATGTTCTTTGTGCGATAGTTCTTGATGCATCGTCTCGCGTTCTTCAGGACAATACCCTTCACGCGCCTTCCCTCCTCCATGGATAGCTCCTCGTCGCACCTGCGCGTGGTGAGTATCTTCTCGAGTGTCAGCTCGACCTCGTCGATCGTGAACTCCTCATCAAGTGCTCTTAGCGGGATATGATTGAGACCCGCATTGAGCATAAGTTGCAGCTGCCCATTGTTTGTTACCCCCGTATCGTTGGTGATGACGTGCATGGTGCGTTCCTCGGGGAGCAACCTGATGGAAGCAGCGCTGAGGAACTCCGCATGCCTGCCCGCCCCGCATTGGCAATACTCCGAAATATACTCCGCCTCCCACTCATTCAACTTAAATTTCCTGAATACCTTCGCCGACTTGCAGATCTTGGCCCCCAGGGGTTCATCGTACCGCCACCCGATGATTACGTCTTCCTGCCAGTCTGCCGATCTATCTCCCTTCACCTGCCTGAGTGCCTCCAAAACCATCCTTCTCAGTGGGACTGGCTCCATAACTCTGCTGGTGTATCGGATGTGCACGAACTGGTCCCGCTCCTTCCCCTCCCTTCTCCACACGGATCTTCCTGATGGAAGCACGATCATGCTGCCTCCTTCGCTTGGATCGAAGTTCTCATCCTGCGTATGGCACGTAAGATCATTGATGGGGTGATTCAACGTTAGAGAGGTTCAATTCCAATATAGCGAGAATCAAGGCAATAGACTGGCAATTCTCCCTTTCGGTGGGTGTTGCACATGTTCCCCATTACCATTTGTATAACTATGTATATATACATACATATTTACACGTATAAAAACTTCAGCATTAGTATATCAAAAAATAATTTCAGGAAGGATATGAAATAGCAAAAGAAGAAAAAAAGAAATAAAATAATAAAAAAAATAAAAAAATAAAAAAACTAAGAAGGGACGAAAAAACTTCTCACCGATCTATGTAGAACGAGTGATCGGAAACTCACTTCGTCGGAAAGGGAATTAGGTAGGCGACGAAGTCCTCAGATAGCGGATGGTGCGAGCGTATTAGGGCGCACTAATACCGCCCTTCTTCCCCTTCCTTCCCCCGCTGGTGGATCCGTTCTTTCGTGTTCCGGCATTCTTCGCAGAGTCTGCCGTGAAGATCGTGGAACCGGTCTGCGAGGCCAGAAGTCGAGAACTGCTTCTGCCCCTTTCTTGCTGCCCATCCATCGCCATATTGTGCAAGCCTCTCCCTCCGAGCTGCTCTTCTGGTGCAAAATTGTCCCGTCCGTGATCCTGTGCACCTGATCTATCTGTCGCCCCTACTTGGCGTGGTGGTTCCCTGGGAGGGACCATCTCTTGCACAACGCCCGCCCTTTCCCTGGGTTCGTAGGGCAGTACTCGTTGGCGGGGGGAAACGACCTACATTGTCATTTGTACGCACCCTCGTACGAGTACGGACTCGTACTCTTGTACTCGTACGCTACTCGTACGCTAGGGCCCCGTGCGAGTTTTTTTTTTTTTTTTAAATCCGGTATTGTTTTTATTTTTTTTCTCAAATTATAATACGAATCTGAAGATGATTCTCAGCCAAATGTTGCTTGTTTTGTGTTGTTGCATCACATAGTTTTTTTTCGGATTTTTTTGATGACTTTTTTTTTTTTTTTTTTTTTTTGCTTTTTCGTACGGGGGCGTACAAGACATACAGGTTCCCGTACAGCTTCCCGTACAGATCCCGTACATAAATAACCTGTACGTTTTGTACGGGAAGCCCCCGTACGTGTACTCTATGCAACGTAGGAGACGACTATGGGTAAGTTGTTGCGCTGTTTCTTCCGCGCGTTCCCCTGCTCATTCCGGACACCTCTGGTTCTAACCCTCGGGTTGCCGGTTATCCTCGTGGGTAACAAGACCCTGTCGATGGTTAGCGAGGTATTGTATCTCCATTTGTCTTGCAGATAACCGATTCAGAGGTGAGGGAGGGATCCTTTTCTAGGGCGGTGATTACATCGGTCATGATTTCTCGTATGAACATGAAGGTAAGACAAACTTTCACCGCGGGTTTCCACGAGACGCGTAGAAAGTGGATGAAAGTGGAGGTTCTCACTTTCACCGAGGCGATGTTGGGAAAAAGGATATCAGGATGTGCGAGCAGGTACCAGATCGCATGGTCCATCCAGATCGACCCTGCCCCACAGTCCTTCTTCCTCTCATTGGCGCACCTGCACCTGAGATATGGTATCCCGACATTCCAACTCTTCCTTAGCCCCTTGAGATCGATCTCAGGACCTGTCTTGAGCTTCTTCTGCCACATCATCGGACAGGTGTATTCGCATTTCGTGTGATCTAGTGTCGATGGTAAGGGAAAAGTTAGGAGGGTCAGGTTAAGTGCCTTCTTTCCCGGAGGGCAATACGGGAGCGCACCGGTCATCGCATTCGCCTTACACGTGGCAAGCTCTTCCTCCGTCAGGTTGGCTAGAAAAATAAGGGCTTTCACCGAGAAAGGTGCAAGGTGATTGAAAGTACCGAGTTTCCAGAGTGTCTGTCTGAACCCGAAACCAGTGTGTTCGACCCAGTGCAAAGAGGGTAGTGGTGCGAAGGCAGTATATACTGCTGCCCTTGCTAGGAGGAGGCTTTCTCTGGGCTATGGCTGACAGTGGCAGTTACCGCGGCGATGGCAGCGTTCATTTCTGCCATCTCCTCGTCGTCCAGGGCACCTGTGATGGTGCAACTGACCGTTGGGGTTTCGGCAGCCTGCCCCTGTAGGTGCGAATGGTCCAGCCCCCAGATTCTGAGGAACGTTTGCTCCACCCTCGCGGTTCTAGCAGGTAGCTCCACGCACTCCTTCTCGTAATCTATCTTCTTCCTTTCTAACCCAGTAGCAATGTCCAGGAGTACTGCAACAAAAGCATCCTTCCCCTGATCCCATACCCGTATAAGATTGGCTATGTCACTAAACCCGATCATGCAAAAGAAATTCGGGAAGTCCCTTGTTCCCACCAGTCTCTTCATCGCATCCAGGATCTCAGGCTTCAACGTGGCGATGAGTGCTTGCGCCGGTTTGCTGGGCCATGGCTGTTCCTTTAGCCAGTCGTACTTGGAAGTGAGTTCGTCCCACCATCCTCCTGGGAAGAACCCCTTCGGTGGAACTTGCAATGCAATCACAACAATCACGAAAACACAGCCGAAACTACATATAGAAAAAAACGCACACAGAAAAAAACACAGAAAAGAAGACCACACTTGAAACAAGAAGGGTTGGAGGACCGGCAACCTGCTCCAGCCTTTCCGCCCATGCAAGGCACATCCAGCGAACCAGGTTGTTCCCAAGCGATCGTGCATTACCCCGAATTCCCTGGGTATCTTCTGGCGAATGCCTGTGCTAATCCCCGCTTGGTTACTTATAGAGGTACGGTTGGTGCGACACACCACCAACAGCGCTGACGGGGGTCATTCCCCTCGTGCGTGTGCTTAGATAACTCCATGATAAACATGTCGAAGCACATACGGAAACCGTAAAGCCATGAAGTTCCGAACTAATTTCTCGGCATACCCCCATACACCTTATCAAGCGAGCACAGGGCTTTACAAGCCAACCACCCATTTCGTGGGATCTTGTAGATGTAGCATGGCCTGAACCGTACAGTCGCATATGTGCCGTATAGTGGCTGAGAGAGACGTTTTTCGAGGACATGATCAGGTGAGGGAAGATACACAATCTAATCTTATCGCTACTAGCTCATGAGCGTACGTTTGTTCGGATGATCGGGTGAAAATGCAACCGTGCGTCTAAGTATGGGTGTCYGGTTACCTTCAAGAAGTATTTCGATATGCATGAGATTATTATCAGCACCGTAGTTTTAGTGCGCAGTGGTCAGTCACGAGAGCATCTCAAAGTCGGGGCTAAAGGGACGAGCGGAGCTATTAATCCGTCGGGTCGGGGAGCTCCGTAGTCCATTTGATGGAGAAAGATGATTGCAGAGCGTACTCATGTCCCAATATCTATATATTCGCCTGCCCAATATTACAACCTATAACCGAGGCATAATTCAATACATTCATTTATCCGTTGGGAAATAGGAGAGAATTCAAATCTCCATACATTCATTTGGTCATACATTTCGATCTTTACAGTGGACATAGGCAGAAAACCCGAATCCATGCATAGTATAGACAAGCAATCACAACAATTTGCTGCAAAAGGAATCGAAAAAATTCAAAACACTTCGCGCGATTATTGTAAAAACTAATTTATCCCAAGATCTGACTCCCCCGGGGGGAACGGCGCCATCCAGTATAATATCCGATCCGGTTATCAACCATAGTGGCTGATGGTCACTCGGATAGATAGTATGCGTGGAGGCGGTCCAGTAAGCATCTATTGGAAAAAATAGTCGTCAATATGAGAGAGAACCAAGGCGTGAGATACATGCATCCTTATTCCGACGATGATATACCTGCGGGAGTAGTAATCAAACGGAGAACACAAGTATTGTACCCATAAAAGTCAATTACTTCCCGAAAAAAACATGATCTCTCTTGTAGCCAATCAAGCTAACGCGTCACCTCTCCACCCATCCCCTCCATTCAACGCAAAAAATAACACCGCGAAGATCCGTACGATTAAGAACAAGCCCGCTGCATACCCAAAGGCGGTTCCACGTAGTATGGGAGATCCGCCTCGACAGCTAAAGCAGGGAGGGTAGTGACGATCCCTGAAGCGCTTTTCTACCGTTAGCCACCAGTTCACGGCTTCATCAGAGGGAACACCTCCTTCTAAACATCATACATGTTTCGGGAGTCAGAGTGGCGATGGCGGCGGCAATGCTTGCAGGTGGTGCAAAAAAGCAAGAAATGAAAGAGAGGCTAACAAAGCAACAAAAGCAAGCAAAACATACGTTGAGACCTCAATAGCTATTCCCACCCTATCATCCGTCGTTTCTCTGTTCAGCGCCATCGTACCGAACTCTAACAACCTACAAGCAGCCCAGCGCAGAAGCTCAAATGGAAAGAAAACCCACATTATTACATGCTTAGACTGCAAGCGTGCTTATTGCGAGACCAACGTGCGAATAGAAATCGTGCAGGTTTGCGGGCGCATGCGTGGCATATCATGCCCATCAGATAATCCATGAATGCTTTGAGAGATGAGGGCGTAGGTCTCTATACCATGTCCTCCTCGTCATCGATCATCCGATCCAACAGCTCCTAGTCCACCTGGTAGTCCATGGCGAAGGTCCCCACAAGGCAGCAATGTTCCGCTATTGGCAAGTACACCTTCCACCTGAGCACTTGAAAACTTGGAAATCTTGCCGTCGTTCGGCTCGCAACCAGAATTACGGTCGAACGGAAGGCAAGAGCGCTGAGTAGCTGATGGGATTCCGAGGGCTATCCCTGTAGTACAAATATTGTCCCGCCATCGTCACTTTCCGAAGGATGCTGCCCACGGGCGGCGCATCTGCCGACGAAGTCGTGAAGCGGGAGAATGTCTCAAAAAAATTCAAAGGATTCAAAACAATAAAAAAAACACACACGAAACGAAAAGAAGGAAAAAAAAAAAAACGAACAATGTTCCGATATTCGGGAAGATACGAAAATAGAGCACACGTTCGTGAACCGGCACCCCCCAGTTGGGTGAGGCGTCACCAACGATCTGTCAGTGGTCGGAAGAACGTGTGCGTGTGTCGTAAGGCATCAAAAAAATAGGGGAACAAAGAATCGAAAAAAATCATGAAAACAATCAAAGGAGGAAAAAAAGGGGAAAAAAAAGAAAAAAAGAAAAAAAGTATAGGACGAAACAGACAAAAGAAAAAAGAAACGAGAGAACAGAAAACGAAGAAAAAATGAAAAAACGGGGAGAGAGAAAAAAAGAAAAGAAGAAAAAATGAAAAAAGGAACCACGAAAAAAAGGGGAAGGGGAAAACGACAAGTGGGTGAAAAAAAATCGGAAATATTATTTCCAGATCGTATCCTGTGTGCAAGACAGCGGGGTCATATTGAGGTTAACCCCGTTATGCGCATGAGTTGTGCGCATATTTGAACCAGGGTTATTGCGTACCCCCCTTTTGTGCAATCCCTGTCCGGTGCGTGCTGTTTAGCCGTACAAAACCTGTGAAGGGGGCTTACCTTTTCCGTGAGATGCGGGGCTATCATTCTGACCTACCTGTCTCTGCTGCTACCCATCCACACAGCTTCTCTTATGCCACGCTTTCTCCCTTCCTCTCCTGGCGACTCCTGCCCTTTTCTTCTTAGTCGCTTCGTGTCTTGCCGCTCTGTTATTCATGCATGTATGTATGTGTGTGTGTGTGTGTGTGTGAGAGAGAGAGAGAAAGAGAGAGAGGCGCCCACGTTCATGGCTGCCCGCTGCCGCTCCCCGCCACTGCTTCGAGCCGTTCTTGTCCAACCTGGCTCATCAGAGGGTAGGAGGACATGAAGCCCTTACTCTGGAGAAAGGAGGAACATGAGAGAGAGAGAGGGAGGGGAGAGAGAGGGAGGGGAGAGAGAGGGGGCGAGGGGGAGGATTAAGGAGGTGAGTAGTAGAGAGCCAGGAAGTAAGGAGGAATACAGGTGTCCCTGGGATGAAGATGCGATTGGTGGGAAAGAGATTAGAGCGGGGAGTAGGGGGAAATGCAAGTTGGGGGAGAGAGAGAGAGAGAGAAGACTAAATGCAAGTATTGTCGAGGAGGGTGTTGAGGAGAGGGAGGCTTACCACGTGAGCGTTTATGTCCGCATCGGAGAAGATGTCATCTGCGGCACCGGCCATCTCTGCTGAGTTCAGGGAGATAGTGAGCCTGTTCGTAGGAGGGGGCAGAACACCTTACTGCTAGGCAGAGCAAGAAGGAAGGAGCGTTGAGGAAGTTGGCTTCCGTGCCGGCTATGGAGGAGCAGCGTCGTGCAGTAGAGAAAATCGCAGCGCTCGGGAGGAGTGCTTGAAGCAATATGAGATGACTAGTAGTAGGGAGGAGGTAGAAGAAATAGTCTTTGAGGGTGGGAGATGGTGGAATTTTTGTGAGGAGGATATTGAGTGAGTGTGGGGGGAAAAAAGGTGTTGGGTGGGGAGGTCTTTTCTCGTACGGGCCATGTTTGTGCGCGGGTGAGGGAAGGGTGGGGGTTGGGAGTGGTGGTGTTGGGGGTATGCGTGAGGAACCGGGGTATCTCTTCAGGGGGAGTAGGGGGGCGTTTGTCGTCCGTCGTTGTACTGCAAAAAACGCCATGTCGTGTAGACTCTGCTCGTGCGTGGGTTTGTCGCGTGGGGTTCCTGGCGACGCGTCGTCTGGGTAGGAGATGGCGTCCCTTCACATGCCAGTGTGTGTCCTGTAGAGCGGATATGGCGGGTGCGTGTTCTGTTTTGTGTTGGCTTCACGAGTTTGAAGCGGCAGAGGGTCTTTGTCTCTGGTGCATCGGGGTTGGCATCGCGTGTGGGTTTTGTCTTGCAGTCATCGGGGCCAGACTGGGAAGGCGTTTTTTCGTTTGGCGGTGTCGGGGTGTGCTGTATTTATTTTGGGGGTTGAGACTGGGGAGGCCTAATGTGGTCGGGGGTATATTTAGAGGGGGGGTGGTAGTGAGTTCGAAGAGGTATTCCGTGGGTTTATAACGTGTACGAGTATTTGGGGTTTTTTTGGGGGGGGTAGTTTCAGAGCCGGGTTATAAGCCAGTAGACCGTATGGTTGTTTTTTTTTTTTTTAATCTAATGGTTGTCTTCAAAAATTGTTCTTCTTTCTTAGTGAAGATTTATTATCTTTTAGTCTTAATAATATTTGTATTATTTCTTATATATGTTTCCATGCTCTCTAACTCCTTTTTTCTAAACAATTTTTTGTATTTTATATATTGTCTATTATAGTTTGTATGTGTGTGTGTGTGTGTGTGTGTGTGTGTGTGTGTGTGTCCCTCCCTCAATCCCTCGTGATGGGGGGCATGGAGGGGACGTGGTTCGGATGACGAACCAGCCCCCTTTCAAGGTTGTCCGCCACCCGAACCAAACCAAAAAAAAGGTTTTTTGGTTTACACACACACTACACATGGTTAGTCAGCAGATTTAGAACTAAATTGGGGTTACAGCGAAAGGGTTGGTATTGCCGGTTTTTTTTTAGGACGGACTTGACAATATTCAGGCATCTGTGAGTGCTGAAACCGTT